TTGTTGTTTGGCGGGTCCGGGCTGGGGATTTGAACCCGCCACCTTAGGTGTACGTGGCTGGCGCCTTAGCCGGTTGAGCTATAGGTGCTGAGCCTATGTACAAGATTATTCACCAGAGCATGGTAATAGCAAAATATTGGGAATAGTCACTTGGAATATTCATCAGAGTATGGTGCTTAAATGAAGTAACAATTTAAATATAAAGAAAAAAAGCAAAGGGCTGGGTGCAGTGGCTGTCACGTCTGTAATCCTGGCACTCTGGAAGCCTGGGCAGGAGGATTATTTGAGCTCAGGAGTTTAAGACAAGCCAGAGCAACAGTGAGACCTTGTCTCTATTAAAAATGGAGAAACTAGCAGGGCACCATGGAGGGTAACTATAGTCCCAGCAACTCAGGAGGCTGAAGCAAGAGGATCACTTGAGCCTAACAGTTTGAGGTTGCTGTGAGCTATGACTCCACAGCACTCTACCCATCTCAAAAAAAAAAAAAAAAGACAAAACCACTGGTATGGCAAGATTTCCAAGGTATATTCTTATGTCACCCTTGGTAGAGTGCCCTAGCCTCACAGCTCACAGCAACCTCCAACTCTTGGGCTTGGGCGCCTCCCAAATAGCTGGGACTAAGGTGCCTGCCACAATGGCCAGCTGTTTTTTTGTTGCAATTGATTAGCTGGCCCAGGCTGGGTTCAAACCCACCACCTTTGGTGTATGTGGCTGGCACTGTAATCACTGTGCTACAGGCGCTGAGCCTCCAAGGTATATTCCTAAGTGAAAAAAGCACAGAATGGAATGTACAGTATCTCAGCAATTATGGAAAAAATGGGGGTACAATTTATACTTCTGAACAATATTTATATGCATTTAAAAAATATCTCTGGAAAGAAACCAAAAACCACTTTTTTGAGGAAGTCAAAGTGGGCAGATGGACACAAGGATGAGAGAAAGGCTTCAGTTTACAACATTTTAGGGCTTTTTCCCTTTTGAATCTTGTAACTGTATTACCCATCAAAAATAGTGTAGAAAATAATTCTAAGCTGAGTGCAATGTGACCCACACTTTTAGCCCCAACTACCCAGGAGGCTGAGGCAGGGAATCACTTGAGCCCAGGCGTTGAGTCCAGCTTGGGTAACATGGCCAGTGCAGCCCCTTAGAAAGGCCCTGTGAAACGCAGCCAGAACACTCTGCCAGCATGTGAGAGAGGCAGAACCAAGCAGCTCAGAGAACAAACGTGCTGGGCCCAGACAGGGTGAAGGGTAAAAGTTGACTTTGGTTCCCCTCCTTTTTTTGCTGGGACCCCATCAGGGGTATGGAGGTTGCCCATGAGTGTTTTGTGGCTCTGAAATTTCAGAAGACTCCTCTCCCCAGGTAGGAGGTGGTCCCTTGTTCTGTTTTCACCTGAGTCTCCTGCCACAGTCCCAGGTGACCTGATAATATGATTTGGGATCTGGTGTCAGCTTCTACACCACCAATAGCTCGATATGTAGCCTGGAAGAACCCCCCCCTCCCCGATTTTACTGCCTCAGTTTCTCATGGCAGAGGATGATGGTGGGTGAACGTGGAACGTCAGAACCTTAGGGTTATTGGTGTTTTGGTCTGAAACGTGTTCTCCCCTTTATCCTTTTTATCAACTGATGGTAAGTTGAATTCATGACTGTGGAGGCAGAAAAAAGGGATGGAATAGCAGTAATTGGACATGCTGGGCTTTTTCTAATTTCACATAATTGACCATATTCTTTTCTTTTTTTTTAAATTTACATTTTTCTTTCTTTCTTCTTCTTCTTCTTTTTTTTTTTTTTTTTTTTGGAGAGACAGTTTTACTTTATCACCCTCGGTAGAGTGCCATGGTATCACAGCTCACAGCAACCTCCATCTCCTGGGTTTAGGTGATTCCCTTGCCTCAGCCTCCCAAGTAGCTGGGACCACAGGTGCCTGCTGCAGTGCCCGGCTATTTTTTTTGTTGCAGTTTGGCCAGGGCCGGGTTTGAACCTGCCACCCTCGGTATATGGGGCCAGCACCCTGCCCACTGAGCCACAGGCGCTGCCCAATTGACAGTATTTTTTTTTTTTTGAGACAGAGCCTCGAGCTGTCCCCCTGGGTAGAGTGCTGTGGCATCACAACTCACAGCAACCTCCACCTCCAGGGCTCAAGCAAGTCTCCTGCCTCAGCCTCCCAAGTAGCTGGGACCACAGGTGCCCGCCATAACGCCCGGCTGTTTTTTGTTTGCAGCTGTAATTGTTGTTTTGGCGGGCCTGGGCTGGATTTGAACCTGCCACCTTATGTGTATGTGGCTGGCGCCTTAGCCACTTGAGCCACAGGCGCCGAGCCAATTGACCATATTTTTAAAATGCAACTTTTCCTATTTCATTCTTGGCAATGGCCTTTTAATGTAATGAAGCAACTTTGTGAGTCTAAATCTCCCTTTACAGAGCAGTAGGCCACTTCTGTGACATTTGGAGATTGTCTCTCAGGTTGATCATTGGTGAATAAAGTGTTCGGTTATCAGCCTGATGGGTTTATTTGACCCTGGACCTTTTCATTAAGTGGGATGGCCGGTGAATTGCCATCTTGTGCATCTGCAGGGGTCCTGGCTGCAAAACCTGCCTATAAGGTGCTTGAAGCAGTGGACTTAATAATAATACCTGTGAGGCAGTGCCTGTGGTTTAGTGAGTAGGGTGCTAGCCCCGTATACCAAGGGCGGTGGGTTCAAACTCAGCACTGATCAAACTGCAACAAAAAAATAGCCAGGCTTGGGTGGCGCCTGAGCGTCTGGTGGACACCTATAGTCCCAGCTACTCTGGAGGCTGAGGCAAGAGAATCACCTAAGCCCAGGAGTGTGAGGTTGCTATGAGCTGTGATGCCATAGCACTCTACTGAGGGTGACAAAGTGAGACTCTGTCTCTTAAAAAAAAAAAAAAAAAAAGCTGGTCCTTGTGGCGGGCGCTTATAGTCCCAGCTACTCAGGAGGCTGAGGCAAGAGAATTGCTGAAGCCCAAGAGCTGGAGGTTGCTGCGAGCTGTGACACCACAGCATTCTACTGAGGGTGACAAAGTGAGACTCTGTCTCTTAAAAAAAAAAAAGAAAAGAATAATTCCTGTGGAAAATTGAGGTTTAACTGTTTAGGGAGCAAGACCTACCAGTGGAGCTATTGCAGTGTGTGATGTTACTGTTGTTCGGGGAAATGGACCAATTCCTACTCTGGACCTTAAAATGCAGCATTAATTACCTGTTCGTCTAAATAACGATTACAGAACCACTGTGCTAAGTGCTGTATGTAATAGGGACAAGATCAAAGGAAGGGCCCCTTCTCTAAAGAAGGTTGTAATGTTGAGGAAGGAATGAAAGTGCAAAGAAACTGGTCCCAGGGTCGTGAGAGCAAAATATCCAGGGCTTGAGGGACTTTGTAGAAGATGGTAAACCAGAGTCATTTAGAGGCAGAGGAAGGACAGCTGGAGGAAGAGGTGTGTAAATTGGGGGGCAGATGGAAGGGGTGCGGATGTGGTGGTGGGCACCTGTAATCCCAGCACTTTGAGGGGCCAAAGCAGGAGGATGGCTTGAGCCCAGGAGCTTGAGGTTGCAGTGAGCTATGATGATACCACTGCACTCCAGCCTGGGCAACAGAGTGAGGCCAGACTCTGTCTCAAAAAAGTAATCTAGATGGGCGGGCCTTGGAGAGATGGATGAGGGAGCAAGGTACATGGGGCTAGTTCTGCTGAAGGCCAGGCTTGTGTGCCTCCCTACCTGGGCTATCAGAAGGACCTTCCTGACTCCTTCTGAGCCAGGGGGCAATATGTTGTCAAGAGCATCTCTGATGTCCCACCCTGTGCCCTTTGCAACCATATGCTAGCTTCTGCAGGTTGGTGGTGGAGGGGTGTGCTGAAGGCCAGCATAGGGCTCCCTTAGGAAGAGGCTACCTCTGTCCTAGCAGGTGGGGCTGGGAACATAGCTGCTGCTGACTCCATTGCACTCCATGTCTTTCCTGTTTTCTTGGCAGGTTTAAGGGGCTCAAGCCGACTGTTATCCTTCTCTCCCGAGGAATTTCCAACGCTGAAAGCAGCTGGAGGGCAGGACAAGGCTGGCAAAGAAAAGGGCGTCTTAGATCTGTCGTATGGGCCAGGACCAAGCCTCCGCCCTCAGAGTAAGTGATAGCAGAGTCTGTCTTGGTGCTCATTGGAGTACATATAGAACTCCTTTTCTTCGGCTTAGCGCCTGTAGCTCAAGTGGCTAAGGCGCCAGCCACATACACCAGAGCTGGCCGGTTTGAATCCAGCCTGGGCCTGCCAAACAACAATGACAACTACGACCAAAAAATAGCTGGGCGTTGTGGTGGGCGTCTGTAGCCCAGCTACTTGGGAGGCTGAGGCAAGAGAATCAATTAAACCCAAGAGTTTGAGGTTGCTGTGAGCTGTGATTACACGGTACTCTACCCAAGGTGACAGCTTGAGACTATCTCGGGGGAAAAAAAAAGAACTCCTCTTCTTCCTGCCCTCTGAGAAGGTGCTGGCATTGCTGGGGTCTCTGGCTGCCACACACTGATGTGCGTGGCTCTTGGCCCTTTCCCTGATCTGTGTACCTTTCGGACTTACTGCCAGGCAGTTCTGGGCCTCACTTCTGCCTTTCTTATCCCTTAGGTTGGGCCAGGCCTGTCCCTTTTCCATCTGTCATTCAGTTGTTGGTTCTGCTATGCTGGGTGGTCATGGTCATGGCAAGAGCAGACAAAGAACCAATGAACTTGAGGAGCTGGTGAGAGCCTGATGGCCAGCCCTCTACCCCATCCAGCCAAATTAGAATCTGCATTTTTTTACACAGTCCCCTGGGGATTGTTACAGGACCAGCGCAGCCCTGGTCTCTGCTGTCCCTTCCTCTGGTGTCTGGCTGAGGGATCTGCAGGACTGTGTAGCATTACTTCTGGGAGGACTTTTTTCTTAGAGGCCTTGGGTGGCTTGAGGTTGAGGTGGCATTTAGGAGTGAGATATTCTGTCTGTTCTAATCAGGGTACTGAAGAGGCTAACGTTTTCCAGGCGTTTGGTCTGGTGTGAGAGGCTTTGTTTGCTTGTCTTGATTCAGCCCCACAGTTCTCCTGTCTATGTTGGAACTGATGATACTGTATACAGTCAGTAACAACTCTACTTAAGACACAGCTGCCTTTTCAGTGGCCCACATGCGTCCATTTTGTTTAACTATAATCTGATTCTTTAGGACAAGAATTATATCTTTTTGAGATTAAGATCAGTAGCTTTGTAGGACTATAAAAATTTTAGAACTAGATGAAGCTTCTAGAATCAGTTTCATTTCCTCTTTGGGGTAGGTGAGGAAACATGGCCAGAGGGTGACCTTGGCTTGCCCACGATCACACAGCAAAGGGATTGGAAAGCCAAAGCCAAACTCTGGGCTGTAGCTCTTGTCCTGCTTCTCTTAAGGGTCATGTAACTCAGGGACCTTACGTGCCTTAGCTCTTGACTGGAAATTGACTGAAAAGTGAGTCTTTTGGCTTATCCGATCTGTTGGCCTGTAATAATTCCCACCAGATTTTACCACATTTGGCAGTGGGAAGCATCATGGAAAGGTCTGCAGGTTTCAGCCTATGAGCTGCACAAGCACCCTACACCCCAACTGGAATGACAGTGCTTTGTTCTTCTGTGAAGGGGTATGAGGGGGAATCCCTTTGTTAAAGGTGCCACTGCTGACTAGAGTCGGAAAACACTGCATCAGGAATTCCCTCCAGTGCTGACGTGGCCTCTGCTGCTGAACAGTGTGTGCTGGCCCTTGTGGGGCTGAGTTGGGATGACTCTAGACTGTTGGTGAGGGCTGTCTTCATTTCTCTGGGTTGTGAGATCTGCAGGCGTACGCCACTGCTGTGGAGAGAGGAGGCCACATCTCATACTCGCCTTCCCTCTGCGTAGGTCTCCTGTGTCTCTCACAGTCATCCTCCCCCAAGCAAGCTCGCACCCGTTGGCCAGGTGTCCACCCCCAACCTTCCCTGTCAGGTGTGACAGCTATTCACTTTTAGGTTTTTGGTTTTTGGTTTTTCTTTTTTTTCTTTTTTCTTTTTTTTTCTTTTTTTTGTGAATGAGGGGGGTCCCTTGACCTTCAGAACCTCATGCAATCCCTCCTCCCCCTCCTCTTTCCTCTCCCCTTTGCCCCCTTTCAATTTCCAGATGTGACAAGCTGGAGGGAGGGCGGTGGGCGAAACATAATTTCTGCCACGTCTCTGAGCGCCTCCCCAACTGAGCTGGGCAGCAGGAACTCGAGTGCGGGAGACGGAGCCCCCTCCTCGGCATGCACCAGCGATTCTAAGGACCCCTCTCTCCGCCCGGTTCAGCCTGTCCGAAAAGGGGCTTCACAGTTCATGGGAAATGTATACCACCCACCTACATACCATGACATGCTTCCTGCTTTTGTAAGTCTTCAGAGTGTACTTTTTTTTTGCCCATGAAGTTGGATTGTTCATGTCCAGCAGAACCTAGTTCAAGTGGTTGAAAATCCACCTTGAATTCTCCCTCCTGATTTCCCGCTTTGCCCTGATACCCCACTTTTGAGGTTTGCATTAGTTTTGCGTTCCTTCCCCCTCCCACCCACCCTTTTCAAATCTTAAGTGCTTTGTCTCCTGGAGACCTGACTTATTTCCTGGTGATGTGGGTATTATTTTAGCTTTGGTTCTTTAGAAGGAGAGGCAGGTATTCCCTGTCATGAATCCCCAAATCTACTTACCGACAGCAGGAAAGAAATGGGGGAGATGGTGGAGGATTGATTAGAAAACCCCAAGACTTTCCTGTTGCTTTTTCCCATTTTCTACTTTCCAAAGCAAATTTTAACTTAAGTGGGACTTGGAATTTAGGCCATTACCAGAAAATCCCATTCATTGATGTTATGTTTCAGATGTGTTCGCCACAGTCATCAGAGAACCAGGGTACAGTGGAACGAGGCTCTTTTCCTCTTCCTCAGCTCCGCCTTGAACCCCGTGTTCCTTTTAGGCAGTTCCAGATGAATGACCAAGATGGGTAAGGCCATTGTATTACAGTTTTCATGTATAGAGAGTCTCCTGGTGATGAAGCTGGTTAAAGATAATGGGCCAGTGTATGAAAGGGCATTATCTCCTGGAGACCACAGAGAACTTAAAAACCAGCTCTACCCCAGGGCTCATGGTATGGGTGGGATTTGGAGCTGAATGAGAGATTGAGTTCTGATTTGAAGTTCCTGGCAGAGTAGAAGTTTTAGCATGTGTTTGTGGCTGCCTTAAACATCAGCAATGAGCATATATAACTGTAGGACGAGGCACAACTTCTCTCCGAGATGTATTTGTTAGCTACATATTGCCTTTAAAAGGAAATGACATAAATATTAAACACAAACCCATGCAGTGTAAAACTTTTTGGAAAATTATTTGATTTTGCTTCCCATCCATATGTTGAACATGAGTCTATCATCATCTTTACTTTTTCTCATCAGAAAAGAGAACAAGCTGGGGACAGCTCGTCCTCTCCGCCCACTGAGGCAGCTGGTGGAACGGGCGCCACGGCCTACCATCATCAATGCAGAAAACCTAAAGGGTCTCGACGATCTGGATACCGATGCTGATGATGGCTGGGCAGGTGGGTGTGGTGCTTCCTGCTGGGCAGGCCCAGTGTGCATATTAGGACCAAGATCCCTTGACTTTCAGAACCTTATGAAGGACAAGAACGAAGGCACAAGGCCAGGGAAGCAGCTCCGACGGCCTGCATTTCTCCTCGTCTCGGTCAGGCCAGAGGTTACCAGCTGCTTTCTGACCAAACCCTTATCTTATTTTGGTCTCTGGTCTTGATCTTGGTGTGTTAACTTCTTTTTTCCTGAAGTTTCAAAGGCTAGAAAAGTGTTATTAACTTTCTTTAAAAGACTGTTGGTAGTGGGAAATTTAAACAAAGGAACATAATAATCAGTTCCCAGCTACCCATTACCTGGCTTCAATAAGTACCAGCATTCTGCTGTTCTCTTTTTTTCCTATTTGTTTGTTTTTAAGAGATGGGTCTCACTATGTCACTGTGTTGTCCACAGTAGCTGTTCACAGGTGCAGGTGTGATGGCAACTCACTGCAGCCTGGAGCTCCTGGGCTCAGGTGATCTTTCTGCCTCCTCCTCCTGGGTAGTTGGGACTGTAGGTGTGTGCTGTTTTGCCTACTCGTTCTGCTGTTTTTATTTCTTTTTCTTTCTTTCTTTCTTTCTTTTTTTTTTTTTTTTGAGACAGAGCCTCAAGCTGTCCTCCTGGGTAGAGTGCGTGGCATCACAGCTCACAGCAACTTACAACTCCTGGGCTCAAGCGAGTCTCCTGCCTCCGCCTCCCAAGTAGCTGGGACCACAGGCGCCTGCCACAACACCTGGCTATTTATTTATTTATTTTTTTTGGTTGCAGCCATCATTGTTTGGCGGGCCCAGGCTGGATTCGAACCTGCCACCTTAGGTGTATATGGCTGACGCCTTAGCCACTTGAGCCACAGGCACGGAACCTGTTTTTATTTCTTTATCTCCACTTACTCCTCTCCACCTAACCTGATTATTTTCTTTTGTAATTCCTTTTGTTGTTTGTTTTCAGATAAATTTCTATTACATTGAAAGCCATACATCTTTTTTTTTTTTTTTTTGAGACAGAATCTTAGTATGTCCCCCTTGGTAGAGTACCGTGGTGTCACAGCTCACAGCAACCTCCGACTCTTGGGTTAAGCGATTCTCTTGCCTCAGCCTTCTAAGTAGCTGGGACTGCAGGTACTTGCCACAATCCCTGGCTATTTTTTGTTACAGTTATCATTGTTGTTTTAGCTGGCCTGGGCTGGGTTTGAACCTACCAACCTTGGTGTGTGTGGCTGGTGCTGTAACTACTGTGCTATGGGTGCCACGCCTTAATTGTACAATTTTGACATTTGGATGTATATGTGTCCCCCCATATTGAGATATAGTACATTTTGGAGTGGCTCAGGCCTGACTCTGCCCAAGTGTATGGCTGCTCTTGAGATTAATTTTTACCATAGATGAGTTTTGCCTTTTGTTGAATTTGCAACAAACGGAATCATACAGTATTCTCTTGTGTTTTTGATATTCATGAGTATTATATGTATCGGTGGCTTTTAGTTGTTGAGATATGTTCCACTGTATCAATATGCTGTAATTTACTTATTACTGACTTACTCAAAAGCCCCATTGTAAATAATAATTTTATTTCTCTCTGATAGATATCTAGAAGTGTTGGGACAAAGAGCCAGGTGTGATGAAGTATATAAGAGAGATAATACTCTCCTTTCTCTACCGAATTGCTTTGGCACCTTTGCCAAAAATCAGTTGATTACAAAAATGTTGGTCTATTTCTGGACACTATTTGTTCCCTCGATCTATTTGTTTATCCTCGTGCCAATACCACGCTGTAGGTTTATACTAAATCTTAAATTTAAATAGTGTAAGTTTTCCCACCTTTTCAAGATTGTTTGGATGATTCTAAGTTTTTTACATTTCCATATAAGTTTAGAATTGACCTGTCAGTATTTACAAAGAACCCGCAGGCATTTTAGTTAGGATTCTTTTGACTCTATGTCAGGATAAATGTGACATCTTCATTGTGAATCTTTAGGTCCAGGAACCTGGGGGATCTCTTAAGTTCTTAAGTGAGTCTTTCATTTCTCTCCGCAGTGTTTTATAGTTCGCTGTGTAGAGGTCTAGAACAGGGGTCCTCAAACTTTTTAAACAGGGGGCCAGTTCACTGTCCCTCAGACCGTTGGAGGGCTGGACTGTGGGCCCTGGGACGAGTCGGCTGGTAAGCAGGACAGGCAGCAGCAGCAAAAACACCCGGCGGGCCGGAAAAATGTCCTAGGTGGGCCACAATTTGAGGACACCTGGTCTAGAATGTCTTCTATTTAACTTATTTAGCACTGGGTGGCACCTGTGGCTTGGTGGATAGGGCGCCGGCCCCATATACTGAGGGTGGTGGGTTTGAACCTGGCCCCAGCCAGCTAAAACAGCAGTGGCAACTGCAACAAAAATAGCCGGGTGTTGTGGTGGGCACCTGTAGTCCCAGCTACTCAGGAGGCTGAGGCAAGAGAATTGCTTAAGCCCCAAGAGTTGGAGGTTGCTGTGAGCTATGACAGCATGGTACTCTACTGAGGGCGACAGAGTAAGCCTCTGTCTCAAAAAAAATAATAATAATTTAGTTAGCACTTAGGGGGCTGGATATGGTGGCTTATATTCAGTTTGTTACCTGGGAGACTGAGGCAGAAGGATGACTTGAGCACAGGAGTTTGAAGTTGTAGAGAGCTGTGATTCTCCCATTGTACCCCAGCCTGGGCAACAGAATAAGACTGTCTCTAAAAAGTAAAATTTCGGGCTCGGTGCCTGTGGCTCAAGCGGCTAAGGCGCCAGCCACATACACCTAAGGTGGTGGGTTCGAATCCCCAG